AACTAGACCAGATATAGCATCGAAGAGAGCGTCATTACAAGACGAAGAAACACCAGTTTCCAACTTCGCTTTCGTATGCGGCTAAAAACAGACGAAGAATATTTAATGTAATTTATTGTGGGAACAAATTAATTCGACTCGTTTCACATCTGCCGACAATAATCAGTGTGCATCAGCAACTATCCCTGATAACATTGGACATAGAAAATGTCTGGATTTCCGATTTTCTACATAAATTAGAAGAAAAATGCAGCCAAAGCCCATCGAATAACTGTGGAAGTTTATGATGACTCTGCGTTGACCGATAAGTCATGCAGAGAATGGATTCGATGCTTCAAAAGTTGTAATACTAGCGCAGAAGACGGACATAAAGCATCCTGGTGAGATCAGAAGGGTGTGGTGTACTGCAGAGCTGCTGATGCGAAACCCTTATTGATGGCTACAAAACGATTTGGAGGCATTGAAGCGTTCGGGTCTTTTGAAGACCACATCGTCTCTCGTCGTTCTCAAGAGCTGATACTTTCTTACAGTACCTTATGGTGTAATTTTCACTTGGCATTACACCTATGTCACTATAAAGTTCAGCTTACACGACAATTAAAGCCAGCTAATCATTCACAAATTGGTTGCCCTTATCCTCTTTATATAAAGCCTACATCGCTTATTCATTGCGCACCCAAATGTAGGCAACGTTTTCATGTGTAGCAATTACTTTAGTATAGACGCACACCTAGAAAAATAGTTACTAATGAAATGTTCACGTTCATTTGAAAAAAAAACTGTGACAAATAAAAATTTTAAGGCACAACTTTGTATTTTGAATTTTATGCTAAAGCTTACTAACTACTAAAGTATGTCAACCACCAACTACCGACTGACTGCATTTAATTTTTCGTAGTACAGATAGAGAGCGAAAAAGAGAAATTTCATATAAATAATGCGCAGCCAAAGAACTAGAAAATTTATTTCAATTGACTTATGTTAAATAAAATGTGAAAAAAAAATGTTTAGTTCAGCAAATACTAAATTATAAATAAATAATAGTAAAATAAGAAAAAATAATATATAAGAAATAATTATTTTTTTCATCGCCGTATAATTTTTCCTCATTCTTTACGCTAGATTACTACACTGGATTTAAGTGTGCGTCACTAGAATGTACACTTTATCAGTTGATAATAAAATTTTATGACTGCATAAATGAGTGCGTCCAACTAACCAAGCAATATTACGGCATAACACGGTCAGGAAAGCTAAGAAGGAAAGAAGCGAGAAAGCAAGGGGAGCAGTAAACGTTAATGATACAGGAAATGATGGGTGCAAAGAGCATTCCTTTACTTTTTGCTAAAGTGCGGGCAAAAGAAATAACTTAGTTTAGGAAAAAAGAAAATTTGGTTTAAGGAAAAAAATTGTTTGTTTATGAAAATAATTATGTTGCATAATCTTAGGCAACATTAACGCCCGTATTATGGTAGGTTATTTAAAGTTTGCTTAAATTGTTGCTGCAAATTTTGTCATGCATAAGGGTTGTTGAACTACATCAGCATATAAGAAATGTTCCAAGCAATATATAAAAGTAGAATGAGGAAAGCAGCTATTGACAAAAAATACAAGCCTAAATGTAGGCCACATTTTTTTCACACGCCAACAAATAAAACAACTCCAACTTTTTTTTTCTCTATATTAAAAACTGTTGCTGTCTCCTGACTTACATGTTTATATATACAGTATATATATAAGTATTTCTTGAAAACTATCGTCGTGGTCTACCGCAAATGGCAAGGCAGTTTAACAAATATACACATACATGCTTACCACATAATAAAGGCCAAACACAAGCAAATGACCTCATAAAAGCCACATTTATTTAATGGCGTTGCAGCAGCAACAGAATTTCATGTTGTTGTTGATTGCAGGGGTGGAGGTGAATGAATAGTTAAGCGGCAAAATAAATGCAAACATCACATACTCAAATAAAATCACACATTATGTAGTACATTTGGCATTTGGTGAGTCAAATAGTTTCGTTTGTCAAAGTAGAAATATTTATATAGATGAATCCAGTGCTCTGTATGTGTATGCATATATATTTATTTTTTATTTTAATATATATGCACATACATACAACATTTTATATACCAACAATTTAGCGGAAGTACGAAAAAAGGTAGTGAAAATCTACTCCACTATTCACATTAAAAATACTACGAATACAAAATTGTTGAACGTTGCGGTAAAAAGAAATAAATATGACTATACAAATAACAACAACATTAAGTGGCATTTTATATAAAATATCTATATAAAAAAATCCACCGTTGAAAAAGGCAAAGCGCTTCAAAAAGGGAGAAAAAAAGAAAAAATAATAACAATAATGAATGAAAGAATGTGTATGAAAAGCGACCGTTAAATGTGACCATTTGCACCGCTACACACAAGGCGTCCACTATATGTATGCTTGTTTGTTGTGGTGTTGCCCGCGCAGGCTGTTGATAGCTCACCGGGGTCTACTACACAGTAGTAGTAGCGAGCACTAACGCCCGCTAGCCATGCTGGCGGAGTGCTTGAGTGGCGTACAGTGTGCGAAAATGAGTTTCTAAGATGTGAAAAAATAATATTAATAAAAAATATATATATATACTGAATTTTTAAAGGGAAAACTTTTTCCGTCTGCTAACTGGCAGTGAAAGAACAATACCTGGAAATATTTTGTAGAAGTTCGCCTGGAAAATAAAACGCGGTGGTGACCAATGGATTGCCGGCTGAGCACGGAGAAGAAGTGTTAAGGAGCATGCATCAGCTGCAAAAATATGATTTAATAAAAACATGTCCGATGTGTTAGGGACTCAAAAATATTCCCGCTGTAAGGCATGGACTAAAATCTAAAAGTTTCTGCGATCTCTATACCGGAACTCCCGCAACATTGCCCAAAAATTACTAGCCTGAAGAATATTTTTATATTATTATTATCGTGGAATAACTTTCTTTAATATCCCATACAGGGTCTTATTGAGGTTATTGTGTGAAAAACTCAGGCCCGCCGACTTTAAACTACTTAGAGTTTATTAGTGTGGCTTTAGATCTGGTATATCAACCATTGACCAGCTATTCAAGTCAAGACAAGTCTTGGAAAAGGCTCGAGAAAAGAGGTTCGACACACACCAGTAAAAGTAGACTTCGACAGCACGAAAAGGAGCTGCCTCTATGCTGCTATGTCTGAATTTGGTATCCTCGAAAAACTTATATGTCTATAAATTAAACTTGAGCAACACCAAAAACTCTACCAGGATCAGGACGGACCGTTCGATACCAAACCAAGTTTCATACCGAATGATTCCTAATCTTATGACTTCATTAAGTTATTACTGGAGAAAATAATATGAGCTGCAGAGCTGAGTAGGGAAGGTACAATCTTCTATAAGAGTGTACAGATGTTGGCGTACGCCGATGATATTGTCAACAAACAAATAATCATCACATTCCCGACTTGGCCACCACGTCACTGTTGGCATTAATGGCTCGAGGTCTTCTATAATTTTATCTATCTTGGAACCATAATTAACACCAACAACAATGTCAATCTCAAAATCCAGCGCAGAATCATTCTTACTACCGATTGGCAATAGAAGTTGTTGAGAGAAAGTTTTTGCATAAAATTTATGATCCCCTGCGAGAAGAAAATGACGAACACTGCAACCGATGCTATTTTTCTTATACATCGTACCCCAAAATGTAGGTAACGCTTTATAAAAAAAAAACACATACCTTACTAATTTGGAAATATGTGAAAAATAACTATATTTTAAAACAAAAATTGCTAGTAATTTTTTATTTGATATCAAAAAATGGCAAAATTCGGAAAATAAAGAAATAACATAAAATAATTTTAATACGTTTTTTTTTATTAATAACTATATTATTTTAAATCATGATATTGTTGCTGATTTTTTCGTTTGAATTAAATGCAAGTTTTTAATGGGATAATGATACATAAATAAAATAATGTAATTTTCATATATTAAACTTAAAAGGAGAAGTTAATTTTTTTTTCTTGACTCAAGACTTCGCCCATTCATTATACGCTTAAATGTAGGCAACGTTTTGTTAAAATAGTAATATTTGCATACCTAAACCATGTCGTAGTTCGACTATATGAAATGAAAGTGTATTTAAAAATAAAATAAATCATATATTTCTATTATTTTTAAATACGATAATAATGCACTTTAAAATATAATAAATATAAAGGCTTTAACAAAAAAATTTTTTCTAAATCATATTGAATATTGGATCGACGAAAACTAAGGTAAAATTATATATTGCGAAGATTTTCATTAAATTCGTAAAAAATTTTTTACCGATTAATATTTTTAAGAAACTTGATATATATAACTTCCTTGGTAATTAGTTTTAACTAAATTTTTCAGCTTAACTTGCCATATTTGCGCTTGTCCTTTTAACAAAAATAAATAACACATACTTGAAATCATCAAACGTCCATTCCGCTGAGCACAATAGAGTGAAGTATGCGATTAGGGTCATTTGATATGCATAACTCTCTAGCCTTACAAGCACACATACATCCAGATACATGAGTAAAACAAACTTCGGGTCACAACGCCATAAATCTGAACCAACGGGCACCAAAACACAAATACACACACACTTAGTGAGAGTAAGACAGAGAGTGAGGGGAGAAGTAGAGATCGCCAAAGTTCAGACGAGCCGCCGTTTGTTTGGCTCATCAAAATTTTAGCACAATTTCAGGCACAAAACGGTATTATGGCTGCCATTGTGCTATAAATATTTTTTGCGGAAATCATTTTTCAAAGCTTAACTGTTGTTGAGTTTTTATGATTTTTTTTTTGGCGCTGCTGCGGAGCTGGCTCAGTGAGTGAAATAAATATGCTTTGCAGCGTTGTTAGTTTAGTTTATTTTATTTGTATATGTTAGTTTTTTTCATATATATATGTGTATTTTAGTGCGCCATATCAACTTACCATGCCCACTTGACGGCACATAAATTCATGCGGACGCATACAGAAATCACCCGCCGCCACTGAGGATGCCAGGTAAATGCCAGCCAACAGCCAACAGATGATAATACAAAATAAACCGGATACGCTAAAGAAGATGAGCGCACAACGCGAACGACGCGCCACACCAATCACTAGTATGGTGCAGAGTAACAGAAGGAGGGTGAGGAAGCCAAGGGTCACAGGCCAACGGATTGATTCGTATAATTCGCCGAGCTGTAAAGAAAATAAGGGAAATTTATACACCATATAAAATCAAAATATTTAAAACGTAGAATTTAAATTTAAATTTATTGAATTTAAAGTAGTTAAATTTAAATTTTTTTTGATTTAATTTTATATAAATTTACTTTAAGTATTTCTTCTTGATAAATTAAATCTTATTTTTCTTCATATTTACTTCAATTATGTTTAATTAAATTAGTTAAATTTAAGTGAACTTTGATTTGAATTTAATTAATTGTAATAAATTTTGCTTTAAATTAGTTGGACTGTATTTTATTTGAATTTAAGTAATTTAAATTAATTTTATTTTCTTCATTACATTTTGTTAAATATTATATTGATTTATTTTTATCTTCTCTTTCACTTCATTTCATTTATTTTTTATATTTTGCTTGCTTTATTTTAGTTTTATTCTTAATTTCTGCTTTGTTTATTTTTTTGTTTTATTTAATTTTATATAAATCCCTTTAATTTATTTTAGTTGATTTTATTTAATTTAATATTTATTTATTTTATTTTGGTTGATTTCGTTTTATTTTATTTTCTTTCATTTTATTTTTCTTTCATTTTATTTTTCTTTAACTTTGCTTTATTTAATTTTCTTTTATTTTTTCATTTTATTTTTTTTATTTAATTTTTTCTTATTTTATTCTTATTTTTATTATATTTTATATATTTAATTTATTTTTTTATTTCAATTATGTTTCTTTCATTTTATTTATTTTTTATTACATTTTCTTTTAATTTTTTTCATTTTATTTTTTTCTGACCTTTTGGTATATTTCACTTTCATTTATTTTCTTTAATTTTTTATTTAATTTAATTTTTTTATTTTATTTTCTTTTATTAAATATATTTTTTTTTTATTTTACTTTCTTTTATTTAATTTATTTTTTAATATATTTTATTTTATTTTTTAATTCATTTATTTTTCTTTTATTTTTTTAATTTATTTTTTCTTTATATTTTGTTATATCTTATTTAGTTAGTAATTTTCTTTTATTTTATCATATATTGTTTGTTTATACTTTTAGTTTTTTCCTTATTTAATTTAATTTATTTTTTTTAAGTCCTTAATTTTGTTTTATCTTCAGATATTTGGTTTCATTTCATTGAATTACTTTATTTATTAAAAATGTAGATTAAAAAAAATTTTAAAAATTCGATTCCTATTTTTATTTTCTTAACTTACGTATAATAATCCCATAAGTGATGTGTCATTTTCACTGCCTTTCGTTTTCATAAAATACAAAACCATATTATCCAGACTGGTTACGGCACGTGAGGTATTCTCGCGTATCAATTGACACGTGTCGATTAACAGCATAACGGCTGTTTGATTATATTGTACTTTTTCGATTTGTTGTTCGAGTTTGTGTTGGGACATTTTGATTTCGAGATCAAATTTAATAAGTTCAGTCTGAAAGGAAATGTATATAAAGTTAGTAAAAGTTTGTTATGTGCATTATATAGTTTTGAAAAAATATCCCGTTTGAGGGAAATTTGTGAATATCAATAAAATGTAGGTTTACAGTTTCGAAATATATATAACAGCGGTTGACCAATATTTCCTCGAATTTATGAGAAAATTTCCCCTCAGGGAAATTTTTATAACTGTATTTTCATAAAAAATTAAACTTTTTAAGGGTTATAACTGCTAATGCGCAAGCTTTTAAGAAATTTCCCAGGGAAGGATATTTTTTTGGAAATTTTAAAATAGCTAGCAAGAAATTAAAAAATTTCAAAAAAAGACCATCATATGCACTAGTATGTATAAAACTTTCCTCCACCTCTTAATCATTTTAAAATAACTGAAATTTAATTTGACACATCATTCCCAGACATACTACTTCGTAGTTATTGTGCAACATGCAATGTCGTTCCCTTGGCAAAACTTGATAAAAACTACACTTATTTTGATTCTTGATAAATACAAAAGGTTCTAAATATTTGCCATATTTATGTGACTTGACGAGTTGGAAAATTTGCCACATCATCATGCAACTAACAGCGAGTGGAGTTATTTAGACGTGCTGCAAGTAGGCTTACACACACAAACATATATGAATATGCTCTTGAGTATATTCATGCCATAAACTTCCTTCTTAGATTGGCAACCCCTTAAGTTGGCAAATACGTACTACACACACGCAAGCTGACTTCCGCTAGAGAGTAAACTCACGATGCTATAGAAATCTTTGAAAAATCAACGTAAGCGAGTTGTGTACTAGAGAAAAGTTGAAAGAAAACTTAGCGGTTGTGGCAAGTTGACAGCAACGTGGCACAAACTATTTTCATAAGTAATTTCTCAAAGGACACACATGAACGTACAAATAAATGCATGATGCGAGTATATAATATAGAAAGCACGTGCATATGTAACATACATATATGTATGTATGTGAATATTTTTGAAAAGACTCTAGCAAGTGAGGAAAGAGTTGAAATATTTGCAAAGTTCTGTGAATTTCTTTATTAAATAAACGGAAATATTATATAGGCATATGTAGTATGTATGTCCATAAAGTTTATTACAAATATGTATATACATATATACCACCAACAATATTTGCGTTAAACTTTAATAACAACTGTATTTCTTATAGGGCGTACAGCTTTCGAAAATATGTAGAAAACGGATACGAAGTTGTAGGATGTGAGCGAAACAACAACAACTGCGGATTTATTGGAAATCTTTATAATTTCCGCTCAAAATTTGAGCATTTATGGTTTTTTATTTCTACAAATTTATATGGAAGAAAATTTCTTGAAAAATTTTGAATATTAAAAAATAAGTAACATTGTTATTATTATTAGATTTTCTAATTTTTTTTTTGTTTTCTCAAAAGTATAAAATATTCCTCATGGAAAATTATTGAAGGTTCTCCCAAAATGCTAGATATTTTGTATCTGAAGTAAAAGTAATAAGCTTTGCAAGTTCCTAACCGTTAGAAACTGTTGTGGAATGCAGCATAAAAATATTTCCCCTAAGGGAAATTTTTAAAAATATGCTGGAAAGCATTTTTGCAGACCATACATAGAAAGCTTTTATTTTATTTGATGTACATAAATAAAAAATATCCATACTGGGAAATTTTTGAATATATCTCAAGAATGTAACTTCTTGGCACTAGACTCCAGGAAATGAATATTATAAGCTACAGACTGCTCAAAGCTCTTGGGAAAAGTGCTTCGAAAAGTTTTAAAGCCATTGTTCTCCCAATTTCCAAGAAATGAAAAATTTACCTGTTGGAAAATTTGGAAAGCGTCATAAAATTACGATTTTCTGCCTAAGAACTGCACATATATTTGTAGAAGGTAGAAAGAAAATTTTAAAAGCTTTTGCGCCAAATGGCAATTACATAAGTATGTTCTTTTTCGATGGAAATTGCAAATGGTGCCCTGATTTGAGTAGTCTTTTAAAAGCTTTATAATAGAAATTTCGTTAGCTCCAGAGATGTAAAAACTATTAACATGAGAACTTTCCAAAAAAATGCTCAAAAAGCATTTTCTTGTCTTAATTTATAAATTTTTAAATAAAGAATTTTACTTGGAAAAAATATACCTTGTGGAGAATTTTAAAAATTTTGGCAAACAATGTTTCTGCCTGCGTGTCTAGAATAAAACCAAATGTTTATTATAATTCATAAAGTATAAAAAGCTTTTGCGTAATGTGGCAGAAAAATATTTCCCTGAAGGGAAATTTTTCATAACAAGCTAAACACATTTTTGTAGGCCTTCGAAAACTATTAAGACTAGTAATTCACAAGTTACAAAAAAAATAAAAAAATTTCCCTAGAGGGAAATTTTCCAAAAAATCCATAAGAATATTGTTATAAGGAAAGTAGACTTTGCGAGCTAAAGCGTACTTGAAATTATATCAGAAGCTGAAAACTGTTCTTATTAATATTATTATATTTTCAATACCATTCAGAAAATCTTTTTAATGATTTTTGGCGCGTAAAAACTTTTTCTAATTATTTAATTTTAAAGATAAAAACTATGCATGGAAACTAAACGCTTTTCTTTAGTGGAAAGTGTTTAAACCAGCAGGTCAATATGTATCTGTAGGTATGTATAAGATTAACGACTAATGACTGAAATTTTTGAAAAAAGGCAAAGGTAAGCAGTATATTTCAATTTAAATACATATGTACATATGTGTATATTTGTGTGCATATAAAACCGGCAAATTGTAAATATGTATTAGAGCAAGTCTTTAGCTGACAGCAACATTGATGAACGCTCATTTACACGTTCAAATAACTGCATACATACACGTTTGCCTGTATGCTTATTAGTGTGTGTGCGTGTATGAATTTGTGATCCTGCATGGCTATCAACACCTCATTTCGGTGCACTTCATTAAACTATAGACGGCTTGAGCTTATACTCGTATGCATGTATGCATGTATGTACATATGTATGTGTGCTTAAGCGTAGTTTCGCTGAAGCTTAATGACGTACTTTTTATTTTATTGCAATTAAAAAGGATAAGTAAAAGGGATATTACGTGAAACTATAGACTACCATGGAGCAATAAGCACACACACACACACACACACACACACACACACATACAGCGGCTTGCATTCACACCCACACTCATACAATTTGGCATACAAATTTGTATAAAATGTTGACACACATACATATATACCTACATACAAGCTCATCGAGTCCACTGCTACCGCTCGTTAGTCTCTTGTGGTCCTGTATGTATTTTTCTCACTCCTTTTGGCGCTAACATACATACATATGTACATAGATAGGAGTATACATATATTTTGGTACGATAAAAAAGCCGTTTACTTGTAGTAAGCTGAGTCACTTGTCATGTTAACTAAAGATTAAAATATCCTTTCATACGCCCTGCCATGCCTTGCCTGGTTCGTGTCCTTTTCCCAGCTTTCCTGTCATCACTACAACCTTTTGGGGCTATGTAAACAAGCTCGTGAAGTTTTTACTATGTAAAAGTGTATGCAGGTGTAGGTATATATATATATATATATATATGTGTGTGTGTGTGAGGCTTAACAAGTTTTGGCGTGGCGACATGGCGATACCGCTACCATAGAATAATTATATATCTATGAAAATATATATATACTCGATGAGACAGTGCGTTGTCCTGTTGTGTGCCGCTGCACAGTGGTGACCGAAATGGATGAAATTAATCATTAAAAAAAATTAGATGTAATTTATTCAGTGTTTCGGCTTTCAAAACAGTTTTTTTTCGAAAATTTTGTGGTTAGGATTTAACGGTAGGCAAGATTTAAAATAAGTCAATCAAAATCATTTTGATATTATTTACTTATAATACACGCATGTTTCTAGTAAGTTATATTCTTCAGTGTGTTTTTTATGGGACTTTTTGACATTTTTCAGGTTAGATTTGTCAGTTTGAAATAAACTGATCTTATTCGTTTTAGTAGAGGTTAAGGCAATTTTTATTATAAGCATACAAACAAAATTCCCATGCCTTAATTTCATTGGTTCGTCTTTTATGACATTTTTTGAGAGTTTTAAGGTTAGATTTCTAGGGGAGATAGGCTTCAATAAACCCTAAATACCTCAAATTTCATATCATCTACTTGAAATGTTATTAATAACTAGAGTACACAATCTCTAACGGCAGTTTTTGACGTTTTTGAGGTTAGGAATGTATGAGAGGAGCGATTTGAAATAAAACAAAGAGTTTCAAATTTAGACTGCTTGCTTATACTGGATTTTGAAATTTATGTACAAAATTTTAGTTTACTTCGTTCCACGGTTCATCCCTTAATGCAGGTTTGACGTTTTTGAGGTTATATTTGTATGAGCGGTATGCTTTAAAATTATCCGAATTCCATGATTTTCAGGGAGCTTATTTTTTAGATTATTAAAAATATACTAACAAAATTTCAAGGTCATAATTTCATCTGTGCTTCTTTTATAAAACTTTTTGTTGTTTTTGAGGTTGGATTTGTATGAGCGGTATAAAATACATAGAATCCATTCATATTCAGGAAGCTGCCATATAATATTGCTTCAAATATATAAAACAAATTTGGATTACTAATTTTCGTCGGTTCGCTTTTTATGAAATTTTGTAATATTTTTGAGGTCAGAAATGTATGAAAGAAATGTTTTAAAATAAACCAAATACTTTTATTTTCAGACTACACTTTTACAATGTTTTAAAAAATAAATGTGCAAAATTTCAACATTTTTTATTCATCGGTTTCTCTTTTACGCCTTTTATTTTGATATCTTTGAGGTTATGTTTGCTGGGAAGTCATACTTTAAAATTAACGAAAAACACCGATTATCACATTTTTAGCTTATAATATTATTAACAATATAAATATGTCATCTGACCACCGTTTTGCCGATTTCGACTGTTTTTGAGCTCAAAACTTTTTCGTATTTCAAATAAAA